ATCTGTTCTGAAGACAAGTTGGATAATGAGTTGACGGGCATTCAGAATTTGCTGCGCGAAAACGGACATCCTGATCGTTTCATTTTGAGGAACATGCAAAGTAAGCCCGACCAGTTACAGGTTCAGACAGCAGAGAAGAAAGAACCTTTCATACGATTACCCTTCAAGAGAGACGCCGCTGCTGAGCGTGTAACTAGAAGCCTTTCAACAGCTGTCAAGTCAACTTTTCCAGCAGCCAAACTTAGGTGTACCTTTTCCACGGAGCCACTCATCCGTATTTACAACAAAGACAAGTTACCGACGCTGACCGCTTCTGTGGTAATTTATCAGTTCAAGTGCGCTTGTGGCGCTACTTACATCGGTCGAACGGCGCGGCAACTTTCGAAACGCATTAATAAGCACCTACCACGTTGGTTGCGTCGAGGCGGTACTGGAGCTATAACTAGCTCAGTTATGGCTCATCTGGTTGATAGTGGACATGAGGTTGACCCAGTCAGTGCCTTTCGAATACTGTACAGGGTCCCTCCACTCCAGTCGAAAGGCCTGCGCCTCCGGACTCTTGCTACTGCCGAGGCGATCAGCATTCGGTTGTACCAACCTCTTTTGTGTACACAAAAGAAGCTGATCGAAGCTGTTCAGCTACCTTGGCCAGCCAAAACGGATCCTTCGGACAGCAACTGCAATTGTGCAACGGTACCTCAGCCCTAGTTTGCTGTTTGTTACTGGTTCATGCCTTTGATCGACACGTGATCAATCTCATTTGAACTGATCGTTAATCCCCTTGTACTTGCCCATTGCGATTTCACCCATATGATTGTACAGGTCTGAAGCTGAATCATCGAAAACAATTGTTCACTCTCGGTCTTTCGTTCTTGATAATGAAATGGGAATTTTCCACTTACAGTAAGAAGATGTATTGTTGATGGCATGCGTTTTCTGATCTGTCTGTCACTACGACCTCTAGGACATTCGTAGGAACAAGACATGTACGCCAAAACATATGATCTGCATTTAACCATCTTGCACAAAATGTGCAGTATGTTTCATCTATAATTCCTCAGATTTGGGACGGATATGAGGAAAAATACGTCCAAGCAAGAGTACGCTTGGAGATTTATCGAACTATGTAAGGAAGTCCGCCGGATCGATGACACGGAGAAAGTTTACAAACAATGGAATACCGTTGCAGGACCGAAGGACAGACTAGCCACACGCGAGTCACTGCTGATGCAGCTACCAAGACAGCTGAGCTGTAAAACCGCCTACGTTTCCTTCCTATCGCCTATCCATGGAGCATCAAGTGACTGGTGTTCCTGAGACAGCACTTCACACTGTGGAGATGCAAAGCGCGTGCTAAATGTTACGACCACTGTAGGGATATTGTCTAGGGTTGACTGGGCCACCCTGACTGCTAAACGTCAAGACAATACTGTCTGCAAAATGAAGCTTAAGTAATTTTCCACTGGGCAATGCTTCATCGTGAGTCAGCGCCGAAGTTGAACAAAAATTGTGTAATCTGTAGACCCTGATGAACGCTAATCGTTTTCGTAAAGACATACCACAAGTCACCATAGACCATGACACGTTCTGCGGTGTTCAAGTACAGAACATGTAAAAGCTTCCCATATTTAATATGAACAGCTTTCCGCGCAATTATCTCAAACAGAATTGATTGATTGACTGAGTCGACCGCACTCTTGAAGTCGAGAAACCAGCTATTTTCGGTCTGTGGTACGTGTGACGCTGCTCTAACACCTGCAGCAGAGTGAACATGTGTTCTATACCACCCCCCTCATGAGCGGAACGCTGCTTGCTCTTCGCTAATTCGGGATTCCGGTCTCTCAGTGAGGCGACGGACGAAAGTTGAGACCAGTACTTTTGTCAGCACTGGCGCTTCTCTAGTACCCATGGGGTTAGGACAGCCGGTGCGACTTCCCTTACATATTGCCACTATAATTAATCCACTCCAATCAACTTGCGTGAACTCTTCCTTCCAGACCTGTTAGAACAGCGTCAGTGCTCTGCAGAGTATCTTACCATCAGCATTATTTAGTGCGGGTGCAAAGAACTTCAGGCCAGCAGCTAGAAAACGATTGAGGGCTGTGATTAGGTTTTGCACCCTGGCCTCCATTGAAACCTCTAGACTGACCGGTCAGGGCTCAGCTTTCACCAACTGAGTAGGAAATGACCGTGAAACAGGGGGCCAACTGAACTGATCTTGAAGGTGTTCCGCCCAACGAGCCATGCGGCGTTTCTTGTTGTGCATCGAGCCACCAATGTAGTCCCTGATTGTCGAACGGACATTTGATTTTCTGGTGCCAGTGGTGTGGATCAAAGGGAAGTGATTACGATAACTGCCTACTGCTCCCATCTCCTCCATTTATTTAGCCCGACCTATCCACCAGGCTTCTTTGTCAGTACGTGGCTTCGCCTTATTTGCACTTAATAGTCCGTCTGATTCCCTTGTGCTCAAAGCCAGCGAGGAGTTTTGTTTTGGGTTACAACAGCTTCATCTGATGTCCAGTAACTAGTGCAGTGACGATTGATAGTGCCACAAACAGAGACTCTCGGGTTGTACGTGGAGGTCGAGATTCTATTCCGCAGGAGTTCGATGTCTTTCCTGACCGAGGACTGGGATAACTTTCACTTAACGACCGAGAGAGACGCTTAGTATGTCATTCACCTTACCCAACTTGTTCATTAGTAACGGCCAAACTTCGCCCCACCGGACTAGTTATTCAACGGCAGCTTAGGTTCCGACTCCAACCGATAGCACTGTTTCTTAAGTGTCAGTCCACATAACAAGTAAGTAGCTTCCCGTTATGGCGCATTGCTGATGCATGGAGAGTAAAAGTACTGTGGCCCTTACAAAGACATGCTCAGAGTTTGGGTGCGATTTTCAGTTTTCCGGTTCCCTTGCAATGATGCACACTATTTGTACCTACTCGTGATGTGGTCAGTATGAATCCCGGGTATGGTTTCGTCCAGTGTGTGCTGGGTGACACGGTGCGCCAAAACACACTGCCCCTATCTCGTGGCTGTTGTCAACAGGCAAGTAGAGAAACCCATCATTACTGTCGGTCCAACAACCAACCACGTCGAAGTGCCGTGTTTGACGCCATCCATTGACACACATGCGTTCATTTCACATGCGACAATTTCTTCACATATACTCCGAGTTATGTGAAAGATGGAATGAGAAATTCCGATGAAGTTTGTCGTTGGCGACTTCCGATTCGCAATCGGTTGGCGCGTGCGCGGTCTTCTGAGTGTGCGGGAATCGGGTGGCGACGTCGAACGGCGCACATACGGCAGTTCATTCAGACCTAACCGTGTTGAGTGTCCTCAGCCTTTTGTTTGATTGCGACGCAGACACCGAGGATGCCTTTGGCCGTCGACTCTGCCTTAACAGAGGTGCTAAGCTAGATAGTGATAATTAGTTAATTTCTAGTAGTTTTTATTCGTGTTGCGACGAGATGGCACCATCGAGAAAGTGTAGAACGGGAGGGGAAGTGATATCTGTTTGCGTGTCTGACGCGATGTCTAAAATTTGAAAGGCGCGATGTGACTTTGGAACATTGGTTTGGTAAGCGATTTGCGTACATCGTTAGCAAGGATTGCGAATTCGACTGCAGTCGCTTTGCTGGTTGACCTTGGACAACCTGGTTTGCGACAGGGCGAGAGAAGTGAAGAGGAGTGTTAGTATCCGGCGATGTAGTTTTGTGAGCAGATTATATTTTTCCGCCTCACTTTTGCTACAACTTTCCTGGGAATTATTACGCTCAAACTGTTGACTTGACCATTCGCTGCCCACGACAGCAAGGATTATGTCCACTTGGGGTATGCGACCGCAGTGTTCTTCATGGGTTCAATCAGAGTCGATCTCATGTGGTCTTGGCTGATGCGGCACAACCTATTTATGGTTTCGATCATGTTTCATGATATGGCCGGTGGTTGCCTTTATTTGGGTCTGTATTTCATGGGCCAAAGGCTACTCGTTTTGAGGTCGGCACTAGTAATCAGATGAGCAAGTTTGTGCCCACTTATCGTCCGTAGTTTTTCCCCCTCATTCCTGCATAATGAATACAGCCAGAAAAGTATAGGATTTCCGCTTCTCTCTTCTGCGACTGCTTTCTTTGGGTCATGGTAGGGGTGGTCTCTGTGTACTTCTCAGCACCCACCAATGAGGAGGATATTGCTGGTGTTGCGTTTTTATATATGCAATATTAATTTGTTTTGTTTGTGGTTCTGCAGACACTAGCTAGTACCATCGGACTATCTCCTTGAGTTATGGTAGCGCCTAGTGCTGAGTTACACTTGATTTGCGTCGTTGATTTGCTGAAAAATACTCAACTATTTTCCGCTTCCAGACTGATGAGGTTGCACCTAAACTGCAAAGGTCAGTTGCACCGAGTCAAAATAACTATCGTTGCCCCATATTTAAGATATTTGGGCGTTATTCTTGTGGTCTCCACTGTTTCTCGAGACTTCTCTATTCGCCCACTCGCTTACTGCTATTTTACTGGTTCGCATAGTAACGCTGGGAATAACCGTTCACTTTGTCCCCTTTGTGAATTCTGTGGCACTGTTTCGCGCTGGCAGTCTAAAGCTTAGTCTGCTTCCTATATCAAACCACATGGCATATATTGCATATATACGCATGTCTATGTGTATATATTTTGCTTGCTCTGTCTATATTTCATCGTGAGGTGATGGACCGCTTAGTCGCCAATAAGTGTGTAATCCGTATGCCACGAGTGATCCATTGAGGCCACTTGATGCTCCGAGATGTGAAATATACTTAATTCATCATACTGCACTAGCTCGCTCTCACATTTATCTAACTAGCATTGGGTTTTGCTTTACAGCTGTACTGCTTTTCGTTTATGGGCCTCATATGCATTCGGATTACTCACCCACTGGATTATAACACATTATCTATCTGGTTTGGTGGCAGGCTAAATTGAGTCCTGTCCCTAACTTACCACTATTTCTCCTAGATTTGCTTTGGACTGCGCCCGAGCTGCTCCCCACTCAGGAAGATGCCATACCGCCACCGACCTTCAAAGGGGATGTGTACAGTTTCGCGATTATATGTCAAGAACTGATTTATCGCAAAGGTCCATTCTATGTGGATGACGAGAATCAACCAGATGCCCGAGTAAGTAGGGTTTTAATTGGTATTTCTCTTGGAAACCGCATTTACTTTGCTCAATGTACTTCAGCATGTCATGAGTTCTATGGCTCGATCGAGTTACTGGAAGTACGTCAACTGCTGAACACGGGTGCATACCTACCTTGCGCATCGACCTATCGCTTCATGTTGCCCAGTTAAACCTCAGGCACGAAAACTGGCATTCGGTTTCCAAGCAACTTAGTTTATCCAGTCTTGCTGGCGTCTGTTGAGTTACCGTGTATTCACAGTCCATTTCAGTCGACTCCACCGTGGTCATGCTCACCACTGTCCTGTCGTTAGCAACAGCGCATATCATATCCACATCTGTGGTATCCCTCTTCCCCGCTTGCAGACCCGGATTTGATCTCGCTGTGGAATGGGAACATCCCGGTGATCGAAGAACTACCGTCGCTGCGCATTAACTAGAGACGATACACAGCTGTGGTCTTGTATACTAAAATAATAGCTAAAACCCGGTTTCTAATCATGTATCGCATTACTTGAGTCCACAATGGTGGCGAAATGCCAGCTTCTCTAATCTGCCTAACTTGTGCTTATTTATTAAGCAAAGCATGTTAAAAACCGCCCGAATTTTACAAGAACATCTGAGTTATGCACAATTAGCAAATGCGGATGCGTTTATGTGTCTGGTGGATAGTAACACATTTACTGCACACCGAGCGCGTCTCCTAGGTACTTTCTGGATTTCTTATTTTGATACAGTGGGCCTACTTTTGCAGCGACTAACACGCGCGTCCGTAGATACATTAAGTTGTTCCATTTCATCCCGCTTCATTAGCTGGAAGTGACCAGGCGCTGCCTTCGGTCCAAACAGCATCTCCCTTAGATAAATAAAGTTACTCCTGTGTGGTTTTCGGTTTAGTCTCTTCCACCATCGCAGAATTGCTCATGACTTCTGTATGATTGAAACAGGTTGAATCACATTATTTCTGATTCTCTGCGGGGAAGTTCGCAGGAATACCGTGTGATTTGTTCTGAACTGACTTTAGTATGACGCAGACCATTCTCATATCAACGGAATCGCAGCTGTCTTCTTTCGGCAAAGAGTTTTACGATTCACTGACTTTAATTAACTAGGGTAATTTACCCATCTCAAGTACTATACCGTATACAATATATATATATATATAAGTAAATGCTGTATCTCACTAACTGGAGACGATTGCATACCTCAGAAGGGGCGAACATCCCACCCCCGTCTACTGCCCACCGGCTGTTACAACCCTACGGCATATTTTAGTTGATTTTCAACGACTCTAGACTCTAGATGATAACACGTCACACCACTTTTAGCCACATATACATATACACATTATATATATATATATATATATATATATATATATATATATATATATATATTAAACACTTGACCAACAGTACAAATGGTAGCGTGTCACAACATATGGACGAAGATAAAAAAGAATAGGGAGTTAAGAAGGAAGTGTAGAACTGCGGTTATGTGGGCAGCGTCCCACAACATCTTTGTCATTGCTCACGGTTACTTGACATGTTCGAAAGGGTTTCCAGCCATGTGTGCTCGTGATCCTTGCGCCACCAACCATGGAGTTGAGAGCGCCCGACCGCTGCCAAATTTGAGGTCAACGCAATCATACTTTTGGCCCAAGTCATTCACTGGCCACCTTGTCTTCGCTTCCAGCCGACTTTCTTGCGCACAGAGTGCACGGTGCGGCAACGCTCAGTAGGCAGGCGAAGCACGTGCTTATGCCACCGAAGTCTGCGCAGTGAAATTATGCGGGTCAGCGGCCGGCATTGTTTGTGTACTCTGAAAAACTTCAGCTCAACGCACGAGTCGACGTTGTTAAAAGTGGGTTGGCTAGAAATTGGTATCGTATAAAGCTTCTGGTACAGTCGGCTTTCTGCCTCCAGTGGATCGGCTCAGGTGAGAAAGCTTTCGGAAATTCTCCGACCTGGCCGCCTGCTCCATATCACTGCCCAGTTGCGTCCACTTGGCCTCGCGATCCTCCCAGAGGAGCTGTTTGAGTTCAGCGTTAGTGGTTCTGCGTAGGGAATGATACTCAACACCAAGTGGAATTGCCCGGCGAGCTTCGATATTTCTGAGAGATCGTGCAGAGATCCAGTGGTTGACAGGACTAGTTGTGAAACCACAAACCAGAAGCATCGAGTTGTGCATGGCGCTGCGGATGTGTGCGCAGTGCGTTCAACGTCAGAGCATGGGGCGCTCTTAAGATTTGCGGTCAGCGTGTCCTGAAACGCCCTGAGAATGCTTGAGGCATCAAGTTTGGCGACGTCAAGCCGTTTCCGACGACGCCGTTTTGAGCCACCAAAATGTAAAGCAATCTCGCCACACACTGGCGCGTGGTCCGGAGTGAGGTACGTACTCCAGACTGATTTTCAATCCTGCATGCATCCCCGCCAGTGATACCTGATGGCGATGTGGTCCATTTGCTTCCATGGCTGGCATGAAGACGGAGACCTCCAGGTCGCCCATTGGCGCCAGGATTGCTTAAAACTAGTTTTTGACAGGAAGAAAACTTTATCGGCGCTGAGCTGTAGTAGGTGATCACTGTTGTCTGTTCTGCGAGTGCCATAGTCATGTTGACCACCGAGTTCATGCACTTCAACCTCAAATCTACTGACCTGCGCGTTTAAGGCCCCTGCAAACATCACGATGTCTGTACGGCGCTTTTCTTCGGAGTGGGTCGGACAGTTGACAGTAGAACTCATACGTGCGCCCGCATGTTGAATACGCTATCCAAGCTTGGCCACATTGGTTGAAACGAGACCTAGAGGCGTTAAAGGCACCACAACGAACAGCAACAAAGAATGTCAAGGGCCTGCGTTATCACTCTTAGCACCGAAGGTTTAAGTTGCTTGGAATTTTCAGCGGACGCTATCGAAGGCTGCGCGGCGATCTCATTTTAGCGTATCAGATATTGAGTGACCCCAACAACGTATGCTGCCAGTTGCTGAAACAGTCACAACACGCAGCTCAGGGGTAACTGCTTAAAGTTGAAGGAACAATGTAGCCGTCTAGAGTGTCGACGAAATTACTTTTGCCTTCGGGTTTTCCAACCCTGGAACGCACTCCCAGGCTCAGTTGTATCCTCCCCTACCTTGGACGTTTTCAAAAAACGATTAGTTGTTTCACTTAGCTCCCAACACTTTGTTATCTAAAATCCACAACTGTGGATTACTCGAAGCGTGCTTTTCTACAGGATTTATATATGAAATGGACCCAAGTGAGCGACCATATCTTACTGTTCTCACGCCTTATATCAACAACCACTGCACCCCGGTGTATTTTGGAACGCTTACGCTCGGTTTTTTTAAGTTTTACACTGATGTTATTTATTGAAGGAGTCATCTCGGCAGGCGTTCTGTAGATGACCCACATATATGTTGATTTCATCGTATTCAGCTTAACCATCCTACGGGACGTGTCAAGCACTTGCTTTTATCCCGTGATAAGTCATTGTTCATTGTTCATTCTCCTCTTTGACTGACTCCGGGCTGCAGTCTGAGGGTGCGTACGCAGCTACAGCGAACAAGCGACGTCTACTAGTTCAGCGACTAGAAGGTCGCACTGAGGTCTTAAGTCGGATCGCTCAGAGTAGAATATTGACAGAGATCAAGTCTAGCAGTGCGGCCTCAGCACATGTGCTCAACACAATCCCCACATCGACAAGACCAGTAGCTTTAACGGGTGCGTCTCGAGATGATCGCAGTGTAAAAATGCCAGTGGAACTCGCAGACGGTAAAACCAGCCGTAGCGTCGACTTAGGGTCCTGTAATCGGGTTTCAGTGAGCCAGCAGACATCGATGACAATAGTCTCAAGCGCGCGAACAACTAATGCTTGTGATCCGATCTGCATCAGCGTCCGAAAATTGAAGGTCGCCAGCTTGAATTGGGTACTGAACGCTAGAAAAGGCTTGGAAATACTAATACGTATTCTTGGACATAACTTCCTGCTTCGTATAGCGAGAACACTCTCCCAAGGCGGCATGGTGTTGTGGACTCGGAAACTGAGGGGATTACCAGGGATGGAGGGATTGAACAAACGTGGAATAAAGTAACCGAACTCTGATGCTTTAGAGCGCAATATAGCATGTTCGCCCGCCAGCATCTCGGCCTAGGGTAGTATTGGCAAAGAGCAGAGAAAGGGAGAGTGAGAGAACAGAAACTTGTTGAAACTGATCCATAAGTTGCGTGACCATGTAGCTTCCTGGTTACCCAGGCCGAAGCACAGGGTTGGCTTAGCGGATACCAACCGGAAGCCTTTGGTCTTAAGGACCTGACCCGCAAGGCAGCAGGGCGATTGATGTATATCACATACCATTGGGAGCCGCCTACCACGATAATGATAACATGGGTTTCAAGTAAGAACAAACTACTCAGGACGCCCAAGAAGCCCGAATGAAGTAACACGGAGATCAGGAGAAATTTCCTGGACTACCGAAGTTACGGAAGAGCACGAAGGCCGTTGACGGCAAGATGGTTCATACACCTTTGCAGAAGCCGGTGAGCATCGAGGTAGCTTATCCGTCCTCTGTTGAGTACTCACTTCTGGTCTCAGAAATGAGTGGTCATTGACTCTATAGCTGGTCACATTTACTAAGACTGAGCGTCTTGCTAGCTCTTATGGTACTTAATGGGGAACCGGGTGACCAGCCCAGAACCCCTCACGCCCTAGGACGCTGCTACTGATTGTCCGCGACCGCTTAATAATCTCGCCTACGAGAAACCTAGACTTATTCACAGTTACCTTCGCAAGGAAGCGTTCCCCTATCCGCTATCTTTGGACGCGCCCGGTCGCGTGCACATCCGCCGAACCAACCAGTAGAGAGTTCACTTCCGGGTTTGGCCAAACTAGTGCCTTATAAGCCCATGCAATATTCTCTAGAACTCCCGATGGATCAAACTTATTTTCGCACCGCAACGGCACCATTGCATGGGGAATATACTTTGGAACCGAATGTACGAAATATGTTTGTGGGGGCCTACCAATAGAGGCGTGCCTTTAACTATGTGATGTTCGTCTCCAGTGCTACTAGGCTGTTCTTTGAAATTCCATTTGTGGTTTTGTCATGCGACTTCTCGTGGTCCCTTGCGGTATGATCAACGTTCGAGGATGCTAATAAACTTGCAGTAGGCCCTGGGGAGCGAGCTGGACTTCAAAAGTCCTAATCATTTCCTAACATTGGATACCCAAGGAGGTGTGCAGCAAATCTTAGTCTTTCCAGTACTGACTGTTAGTGCTTTATTGTCTCCTTCCCAGGGCAAATTGACCAGATGGCAGCGTACCTTCCCGGATATCCGAAGCCCCAATGAGGGTCATTTCGTTTGTCCTTGGCATCTATATGGTATTTTAGGGAGTACAGGAATTCAAAAGTAGTGGCATGGGAATTGGTTTTCGTTCACAATGGTCCATTACTTCATGTATGTACGGGTCGTCCGAAATTGGATAACCTAAAATATCTCCTGAAATCGCGACTTGTAACAATGCAACGTTTATATTTTGCTATATTAGACGTGGTTTACCGCAATCTATGATGAATTCAGATCTTAGAGGAAGGTTTTGTGTGGGTTTGGTTACCGCCTAATACCTTGAGCTAAACGAAACTGATAACTCAGTACTGGCCTCATCGTTTCGACAAATTGTTCGCGCGATGATATTTTTTGTTAACCGACTTTCCGCCGACCTTGTCTTTTGCTCTGCTGACCGAAGAAGAAAAGCCACAGCTTTTGCTTTCTTTCATTCCCTTTCATATCTACCATTCAAGTGGCTAGTTGCATTAACTGTACTTGAAGCACTGGACGCGGTGGGAAAATCCACCAATGTTTTGACGACGCAACAATCCACTTACAGGTTACCTTCACCATTTGTCGGCTAGGTAACCTATGACTTACATGTGTGTGTGTACTCCCTTCGATGTCTGCCTTGATTCTTCCTCATACCTGTTTTCAACTTAGTTTTGATTACGATCGGAACGTACGTACTGGCTGTTTGTTGATGCACTAACAAATAACTCCACTGACCTGTTTGTCTTATGATAGACAATAATACACTCGGTGGCAGAGCATCAGGTACCCAGTTATCGGCCCACTCTTCAAGTGCAGGAGGACGGATCGGAGGAGGTTATCCAGATGATTCGTCGAGCGTGGGACGATGATCCAAGCAAGCGCCCAGACTTTCGGACGATCGGTAAGCAAGTCAGGTACGTTACGAAGCGTGAAGGGCTTCCATTTCTTTGATCTCTCTGCACATTTCGCACCTCCATTGTGGAACTTCCAGCCGCATGGTGTATAATGCAGAGTGGGTGCAAATGCAGAATTCGTCACCATCCGTTGTCGGTCCTTTGTTCTACCACTTATCTGTACTCATAGAGGTGAGTTAGCTCCTACTGAACCGACGCATTACTTCACACGCTGGCATTCATACGTGACTGCTAGCGCAATAGCTAGTGCCTCATCGAATCAAGGTTAGCAAACCAATGGCTCAAAGAAACTTATATTATTGCAGGATCCATATATAGCATCTGATTATGTATTGTGCTGCACTTCAAGAGTAGTTCGTCTGAATCATCTAACCCTTGGATTTAGAGCCACTTGATAGCAATAGGATCCACTTGCCTTCAGTTTGTTATGGGTTCTTGTTCTTTGATAGTAGGAAGATGTTCCGTTCACATATTCCGACAGTGTTTTTTCGCGTTTTGGTCTCCAGATGTACCAGTAAACATTATCACACTTTTAGAACTCCATACGTTACCTTTTCGATTGTAGTCATTTCCCCTTCTGTTATCTCTGCGATTGGTGGGGTCTGGAGCCGTCAGAACAGACCCGAGCTTACCGGACAGCGTCCCAACCAAGTCAACACGACGCAGGCATGGCAGCCGATAACATAGAACAAAATATGAGGGGATGTCAGACGGACAGCGTCACAAGATATGTGGCCTTCACCCACATGGATCATAGCTGGGTCAAGGGGGTGGGTACAATTCATGGCCGGCTAGTGGGATACCGTATTATTTGATATAGTTAGGTATTTTCAGCAGTTTGAATAAAGCGTTAGATGAAAACTTTCAGATGTTAACAATACTTATTTTCCCCTCAATGCCAATACAAGAGCAAAAAAGATATATATGAGGACAAGTAGAGCACGACTGAAGCAAAGTAGAAACAGGAGTGGGGGTCAGATGTGACACCCCTACGCCCTTTTGTTGTCGAAACAGCGGTCATCCACCAACTACGCCTATCACCAATGGTCTAGCGAATTCGTTTGTCAACACCAGTTGGTCACCAAATGTTGGGTACTGCTCAGTGCGACATGCACCACCACCACCACAGTATGCAAATATTTTTGGACAGTGACTGAAACCGCCGCTCAATTACCCATGAAAAATTGGCGCATACCAGACACATCCAAGGTGACTCCTAGGCTGAGACTAAGTCTCCTATGGGAGTCAGAAGAAGCAAATATGTCACTACCACAAGCAACGGCCAACGGTTTCCTGGAGTCCACAGTTCTGGTCGCAGTGTGTGTGCTTTCAAGCGGACTGTTTTATGTATGACCAAAGATAGTGGGATTTACCGTCCTGAAACGATCTACAAACTCCATTCCCGAACCACCTAACTACACTGCGAATTACTTCTACTGGACTGTTGATTAGTTAGGAATGGATAAACCATCTCTCCTGTTGTTCCAAGATTTGAATTGGGATTGGGTTGGTTCTCATGTCTGTCAAAACGGTACATATTGTGCGCCGTTTCATCTCCCTGCCGCATTGCCTGTGGTCTTTTAAGCCAGGGATTTTAGAGGGGATCTTTAACCTTTATCTTCTTTGCGTTTATTCGCGCTGACAATATCGCAGTCCATGTGGAAGGGAAACTTCTAACTTACAACTCAGGTTTAGGTTACGAGGGCCGTCGCTCAGTTTCAGTATGCTACAGGACGGATGAACAAAAACAGGCTTCAACCGATGCCTCATTTCCTTCTTTTCTCGCTTGTTCCTATTGTACACATCTTGATCCTAATCACTGACTTTCGTTCTGAAGTCCTCAGTGTAAGTATTGTTAGAGTCCTACGATCTGCAACTATCTCACTTCGTTAACCATTGGCCTCCTATGCGCAGCTCCTTACCCCACCCATTCTCTCTGGTGCCGTTCAATGTTCGTAATACAATAGTGATACACCAGCGAACCCCACTTGGGCGCACACTGGATACCACCAGTTTCCACGGGCACGGCGTTTCTAGCTCCAGCACTCGATATCTTCACACGACTATGGAGTCCAGTATACTATATCTTGCCTTTCACTATTATTTACACATGTTTGGGACTGCAAATGTATTAACTACATCACACGTTCTGATGGGCATCCTTTTCATCTCCCTGTTTGATTGCACTTCCGTGAACAGCCATCTACCTTCAACACTTTTAGCGGCTTCGACTGGTATTTGATGGCGAAGCAGCCCTATACGCTTGTTATGACGTCGTTTATTAAGAGTTTATCTCACGGAGATGCTTTGCGTCCATCCGAGAAATAAATTAAAGTCCTGGCAGCGACCACCGGCCTATTATTCTTAAAGCGTAGAATCAGTTATCCTGCACACTAATTCGAAGCGTTATTCCATTATCGAAGCTTTACACCAGCTATTGCTTGTCGCCGTGCCTACCTACTAGGTTCATTAACCCTCAAGCGCCGTTCACCTACTCCGCTTGGTCCATCCCACACCTGCTAATGTATGGAGCCATTTTGAATCTGGCTAATGCTAGGCTTCTTCAATTCTGCATTGTCTGTCTAGTCGATACGATCTTTGTCTGCTGGAATAGGCGATACGTGATTGTTTTCCCCCCGCTGTTCCAGACTCGGTTCATTTCGCTCAAAATATCAACTACCACCAAGGGAGTGACTCTGCTTGCGGAGATGTGAATCTCATGGTTGGCCACCCACACTTTTCATAAACTTATTTTAGTGGTGCACTCGGTATTGGCCGCCGTCTCATCGATATACGTAAGCGTTAGTTGTAGTTGTGTGCCGTATGTCGGATGGCCTCGGATACCCCTGCCGGCCGGTGGTCAAGATGATCAGACGCTTGCCTAGTAATCCGGTGGTCACCGGTTCGAGCCTGCGTAGGGGATCGGCTGATCTTCGCAGTATCCTTAGCGCACGTGCGACTGGTGGTGGTTGCGTGCCAACGAATCATTGATGTGGCTTGCTGGCGTACTTTTGATGCCGAAGGTCGACCACTTCTAACAATCACGGGCTTCAGACGCAGTTGAGGTTATGTGTCATCTGACTAACGTGCATCGGACTCTCCTCAGACGATCGCTCCGGTCCCACGCTTCCCACTCGTTCCAAAGCCCCAAGGAAGAAGCAAGAAATAAAAGCAAAACTTTCCATCGGAAGTGCAATTGCCTACAAGCCCTGGAGTGACAGACACTCAACTGGAAGAAACATTGATGAGAATGTCTGAAAAGTACAGCGGCCTAGTACGAAGGAACGATCGACGGCACAAAAGACACACAATTAACCACAGTCGGAGGCGAAAAGAAACTAGTATTTCTAAAGCAAGAGAAACTGACGCCAGTAAAAGTGCGTAAAAATAGATGAATTGCAGAGATGTTTTGCTTTCGATAGATTCTCAAAAACTAAATCAGCTTAGTGAAGCTGACCTCCCTAAATTCATCACCTTTTAAGCATTTGCTTCCTGCTTCTCCTCTTCCTTGGATTGGTCTTCAGGGGCATAGTATTTCATTTGCCCATTGGCGAGGGTTAGAGCTGATATCGGCCTCAGCTTCCGATGTCATAGGCTTCATAGTTCTATTGCATGGAATAGCAAGTTTCCAGTATTAAGTCTAACGGGAGTGATTAATTACTGAAGTCCTTCACGGAGTTCGCGTGCCTCAGAGGTAACTTGTTACGGTGCCAGCTACATGTTCCATCATTTGCTAGTACGTCGTAAGATATTCATTCTCGGAAAGCGGTCACGACAACTTCGGTCCATTCCTTGTGTCCGTGTCTGTAACCCCGGTTGTGCACAGGAGTGTCAGCTTTAATGCAATGAAAATCCTCCGATGCAGTAGGCACAGAATGTGAGTTTAGCTTTGGGATGAGAGCATTGTGCACCGTACGTAGTATGCGGCCTATTAAAAGTTCGGCTGGTAAAAGACTCTCGGGTTCGATACGAAAATATGGTTGCTTTCAGGATCTCCTCGGTGGTTTCTCTCCACACGACTTCAGAAACGCTCGCTTCAAAGTATCGACGCGGCACTCAGCCTGACCGTTCGACTGTGGGCGGTACGGTTGGGACCCACTTGAGTAAGCCCTGTGTGCGAGCCTTCACTGCTTACTGAGTCGGGTTTTGTTTTGTTTGCCAAATCTCAGATGGGGTGAGGCTGAAAGTGGGCAATATTCGACCTTTCAGCAAGTAAAGAATTCAGTTTCTACTGGACTACGTGCTTCTTGTTCGTTCTCGCCCTTCGTGCTGGGTTCCACACGACCAATCTTTTCGTTGGCCCGATACCTTACAAGAATAGTTCGCAACGTAATTACTGGCGCGATTGCTGCTGTATCTGCGGAGTTATGTTGCATATGACACCGGGAAGTGAGAATTAAAATGAAGCCTCCTTATTAATGCAGCCTTCTCGCTATATAACTATCAGTTGTCTATGACATTGCGTTGTTTGCAAACTGCAGGCGTCTTGAGCTTGAGTGCTTACTTAGCGTATTTTAGGAGTTACACTAGGTCTCCATTGCAGTTAGCTTGTCTTTTATTGTCAGTGTCCGCATCGCTGTATGACACTTCAGTTCAGTTGAACCACTATCATCCAGTTACCGAAGGCCGATGAGTTCAGTTGCCAAGACTCCGTCAAGTTGGTAATAGGTAACGGCGTTAAGCAAATGAGGTTAAACGCAACTAAAATACAAAGAAAAGGGAATTATGGCAAAAGTGCGCAAAGCTAACCGGGATGAAATGAATGTAGACAGCTAGATGCAAGGAACCGAATGCAGCATCACCAATGATTGCTCGACTGCGCTGTCTGATAGAGTCTCCATCCACCAATGTGGACCAACCCCCGGGCCCCTATTCACTAGCCTGACCAAGTCGGACACTCAATTTCTTCACGCCTCTATGCCACGTCATCGATCACCACCTTGAGATTTCGCCCAACTTGGTGCGGCCACGGCGTATAATGCACACCGAGGAAGCCAGTC